GGCATTTACTTTCACAATCTTTGAAATGGTTTAGAACTGTGTATTTTTGTAATTTCTGTTTATCTTGAGGGCCTCTTTGTTTTGAAAACTCTAATGCTCTCCCCTTTCTTCTTTGGCAAAAATCAATATTTAGCCTCTTACCTTACAAAATTGGTAGATTTTAACCTCTTAACTTATAATATAATACTTTTAGCTTTTACCTTACAAAGTTGGTAGGTTTTAATCCCTCACTTTACAAAGTTAATAAGTTTTACCCCTCACCTTATATTATGACATTTTTAGCCCCTCACCTATACGAATTGAAGAAAATAACCCTCATGTAACATCATGTTATAACGTTCTATTAGTTCTGTTAACTGACTGTTAACATCCATTAGTATTCCATTATAGAAAATATTAAATTTAAATTCAATTTTATTTGTTTGTTCTATTAACGAAATATTAATGGATGTTAATAGTCAGTTAACAGTCAGTTAACAGAACCAATAGTCAGTTAACAAAATTTATAATTAGTTGGCAGAATTTACCGTCAACTAATAGAACTAATAAAATATTATAACATGATGTTAAGCGAGAGTTATTTTCTTCAATTCATACATATAAGGGACTAAAAGTATCATAATATAAGGTAGTGGTTTAAAACCTATCAACTTTGTGAGATGAGGGGTCAAAACCTACTTATTTTGTAAGGTAAAGAGCTAAATGTGTTATATTATAATGTTAGGGACTAAAACCTATCAATTTTGTAAGGTAAAGGGCTAAAGGTGTTATATTATAAGTTGAGGGGTTAAAACCTACTAATTTTGTAAGATAAGGGGCTAAATGTTGGTTTTTGCCCTCCTCCAGCAGTTCGCCGGTGGCCACCCCGCCTACGTTCCCATCCAGCCGTAGAGGTGGGCACGGGACGGTATGGTAACACTACTGCACCCAAAATTTAGTAACTGTAGAAATACGGTAATTAACTGAGGCAATCGAAACTGTGCCGAAGAATGGTTTCAGATAATCGATTGCCGATCGAATTTTACGATAATAAAGGAGAGAGATGGCCGGTGCCATGCCATTGTTCCAAAATCCAGGCCATTTCAGACCATCTTCGAATCTTGTTTCTTTGCAACCAAAGACCCTAAAGAATCTGAAAGTTAAATGTCATAGAAGAATAAAAAGAAACCCACAAAATCTAAAAATCAAAATCTCATAGAAAGAGAAACTCAAAAGTGTTAAAACCCACACCTATCATCAATATGAAATTGAAGGTAAGGAAAAGGAGGAGGAGAAAAAGAAGTGAAAAAGACTTGCTGCAATTGCATTAAGATGCCTTGCACTTCAAAATGGCCGGCCATTTTCTCCAGCCTTGAAGAGAGAGAAAGGATGGGTTAACCTATTCCATAAAATTCTATTTGGATTAATATGTATTTATATATCAATTTTATAGTATTGTATTTATATA